CCAGAGGCGGTGGGGCCGCGGGGGCAGCTGCTGCCCGGCAGGTCTGAATGGGGTGCACGCAAACCGAGGCCTGCCTAGGCCCTGTAACAGGGGGTTGGGGGGACCCTCCAACCTCAGGGGACTCTGCCGCGCCAAACTTTGAGGTCTGGCTGGGGAGTGGTGCAGGTGTGCACCAGGGCCAGCCCTGCCCGTTGCAGTCCCTACAGGGGTCCTGTGAGGAGGGAGGGCGAGGGAGCCTGCAGTGACCCGGAGCAGGTGGCCTCACAGGTCCACCCTGGAGCCAGAGAGCAGGGAGCCCCGCCCCCGCCTGGCCAGTCCCCAGCCTCCCTGGCCCACACTGACCTTCCCAGGGCAGCGCAGTCAGCAGGGGGCGGGAGCTGTCAGACCAAGGGGAGGCTGGACAGGTGTCGGCCTCAGCCACGCTCTGTGCTGTGGGTTGGGGCATAGCGCGAAGGGCATGGCAGATGCCCAGGGCTGGAGCCCGCGGGAGGCAGAGGGCCCGCCTGCAGCCAGCCAGGCCCCGAGGAGCCAGGGCGAAAGACCCTCGAGGGGAGGCAGGCCATCAGGGCCCCGCGGGCTGAGACCACCTGCAGGCTGCAGCAGGAAGAGCTGGGCGGTCTTCAGAGCCCCTCCCCACCCCAGCCTGAGGCCAGCGGGGCACAGGGCCCCAGGTCCCAGGGGTGCGGCGCCCCCCCAGTGGCTGTCTAGGGTGGTGCAGGGTTCCAGTCAGTGTCCAGGGTTTCCGATGGAGGCCCACACCCTGGGTGCTGGCAGCTGGCCTGGTGGCCAGGCAGGGGTCTCTGCCCAGCTCTGTGCCCGCCAATTGCTTCCCAAGGACGGGGCAGCTGTCCTGGCCCAGGGGCTCTGGCAGACCCCAGGGCGGCCCAACAGCGGGCAGGGTCCTCGCCCCTCCACAGCCCACGGCCACCCCTTCCCGGCGCTGGACCGCCCCAGAGCCTCCTGCCCTCCCGTGACCAAGACCAGAGGTGCATGGGCTGCCAGGGGGGAGGGTGCCGGCTTGGAAGAGACCAGGACACAAGTGGCCAGCGCGAGGCCGCCTCAGGCAGCGCGGGTCATGTTGCTCTGGACACACGGGCCGAGGCGATTCACAGGTGCTGGCCGAGGGCCCCAGGACCCCCTGGGGCCGGCCTGGGCGAGCCTCCGCGGGCGCAGCTCCCGGCGCCTGGTGGTGATTGTCCTGGCACCCGCCTGGGGAGCAGCACCCAGGCCCAGCGCTCTCGCCCGGCGCTGCTGCCCACCCCGTCTCAGAAGGACGCCCCTCTGTCCATGTGTGCAGCGGCCGTCGTCAGCCACAGGCGTGTTCCGGCTCCAAGGCCGCTGGCCGCCGGTGGGGCCTGCATGGCCTACTCCAGCACCACGGTGCCGCCCACGGCCTCCAGGGCCGCCTTGATCTTCTCCGCCTCCGCCTTGGCCACGTTGGCCTTGATTTCCTGGGGCAGGGACTCCACCAGCTTCTTCGCCTGCAGAGGACAGTCGGGTGGGCCTGGCGCCTCGGCTGACCGGCCGCCCGCCCCGGGCGCAGGCTTACCTGGACCAGGTTGATGCCCTGGATGTAGTTCTTGATTTCCTTGATGAGCTTCACCTTGTCCACGGGCTTGGCCTCCGTCAGGCGCACTGTGAAGTGGGAGCGCTCCTTCTGCCTGGGGACCTCCTCTGCCGCCTGGGGGTGCGGGGGGCAGGGTGAGCCAGCACCAGGTGACCTGCGGCCCGCCCCTCCGGCGAGAGTGCGGAGGGCATCTCCAGACTCGGGGCAGTGGCCGTGGCCAGTCCTGGGACACGCCCCCACGGCCCTCAGTCAGGGGCTGCCCCTCACTGCGCCCACAGTGGCCGGCAGGCGGGCGCCCCGGCAGTACACAGGCCCCCGCAGACCCGCAGGTGAACCCTGGAGCCAGGCTCTGCCCCAGGGGATCGCTGGAGCCTTCTCGGCCTCCACAGCCACCCTGCTGACGGTGGGGTGCTGCGACACCCTGGAGCCTGGAGTGCTGGTGGCCGGGGCAGGGACTGGGGGGAGGAGGAGAGGGGGGACTAGGAACCCCCACTGCCCTTGAGGGCCCCGCCCCCTCTTCCCCGCAGAGTCGCTCCCAGGACCAGAGCTGGGGCCTGGGCTCCCTCCAGCCTGTCCTGCCCGGCTCACCTCGGCGGGCGCTGCCGTCGTGGGCACAGCACCGGGCAGCGAGCTCCCCATCGGCATGAGCCCCACGTCCTGGATCTTGAGCGTTTTCTGCAACGGTAGCGGGGTCTCAGCAGCCGAGCGGCTGGCGGCTCGCGCGCCTCGAGGGGCCGCCCCGCTGCCGCCCACCTTCAGGAGCTCGTTGAGGTCCGAGATCTCCAGCAGCGTGAGGCTGGCAATGTCCCGGACCAGCTGCTGGATCTTGGGCGGATACTCCTTGGGGGCGTTATCCAGGGGCGCCCCGGCCAGCGCCTCTCCCCTCCGGGGGCCGCTGCTCTGCACCAGCCGCACGGCGCAGACACGTGGCACCTGTCGCCTGGCCCCCGATTCAAACAGAGTCGTCAGCGCGGCGCGGACGGGCGGCAGCAGGCCGGCGGGC